GGCGATCATAGAAACAAGTAACTGATCATGTAGTTTTCAATATGTGCATGCTCCTTAGTTTAAACTTAAAAGTTTGTCGAAGAAAAAGGATGTGTGCTTCTATCTTTCATACTTGACTAGTTATCCAAAATTAAGTAGCTTTTGAAAAGATGCAGATCATTCACTCCCTTGACTGACTGACTGAATTTGCAATTATTATCAGAATCTCCACTGTCAGGCAAGCTTTGTTGTCTCCTTCAAGGCAGATTCTGCACAGTTGGATTCTTAAAGGCAGATGTATATCTTGGTGACTGCAATGATTTCCTATCTGTAAACAATAAAAAAGAACTGCGAGTCGGCAGTGCGCAGTCCATTATATTATGCTCTGAAGGGGACCGAGAACATGAGAGGCTCCACAACAATGACAACACATGACGGCTTCTTCCATCTTATTATGCTCTGAAATGAATAATCTGCTCATCAGTTAGTGGTAGTTTCTGTTGCCATCTAAAGCACGAATGCATGCTTGTACCTCATGTGACCGATCCATCTTTTAGGCCATTCAGTTTGTGTACTGCTGCTGGCATGTAATTTAGTAGCTTATATTTGTAATGTATATAAGCTGTAATCTACAGGTATCTACTCCTCACTACTCAGCAGGCATGGTGAACTTCGTTCATGGCCATATGCTGCTGGAAACTCGATCAATCTGGAATTATGCTGCTGTAAACTAAAGACTGCCTTCGATGAATTTGTGATGAATTGATATATATACTTCTTTTGATTTTAGGAATGTAAGTTAGTTTCTCCGTGATGTTGATTGAATGTTCATCCAATAATGCAAAGTTTCTTTTTGTATGCAAACTTATTTGCTTCAACAAAAGAAAATGGTTGTGTTTTTTACCTCACCTCTCCCATCACAGAGAAAAAAGGACAATCCTTCCAAGGACTGGTTCACACATTTTTTTGATCGGAATTTGCATCTAGGAGTAATAAATAAATAGATAAACAATTGTATATTTCAAACTTAAAATGAAATTACTCTATTTATTCCTCTAATAACAAGTGCAGGGCCACGAAGGCAATTTGTGACAGGAGCTGCCAATTGCCACTAGTACAGAGCAAAGCAATGACAAGAACAATAGCAGATTCAGTCTCAGCTTCAGGACCATATCAGCATTGCTGGAGTTGGAACACAAGACTCTTCTGCCCCGTCAACTGGGTACCGTGCAATACTTTCGAGAAAAAACTCCATCCCCCCCC